AAAAAAAAAATGAAGACATGTTCACACTTCAGCATAGTACAATAGGTCAAATGTGAGCAAAACAAAAGAAGCTGCTCAACACAGATCACACAGTAAATGCAGCAGGTTTAGTCTGTTTTGTTGCGTGTTCTTGTGAAAAAAAAAAAAGAACTACTGTACACCTACACACAGACTTTTTAAGTCAGACTTACACAGCTAGATTGATCTACAAAGCCACTGCCAAGATCCATATAGATGTATAAGCGAGTTATTCTTGGTGCGCTAAACACACAACACTGTTCTTTTGGGACCCACTGAGCTTTAATGACAGCAAGCTGCTTTGTGAACAGGGTCAGGCGGGGGTGGGGGGAGTCACTGCTCAGACCCCACACTCGTATTACCTGCATGATAGGCTCCAGTGCTTCATCCACACAGAAGTGAACAAATGCATTCAGTCTCACACATGAATTGTGAGGAAAAGTTGCCTTTTCATGTACAGTCACGGCTTCAAACCGCACACAGAGAAGCAGCTTTTATTTATCTGCAAACGTATTTGCTAAAACACACACGCACCCTTCACAGTGCAACCACAGCTGAGAGCGTACACTCGGTGGAGGTAGGATCCAATTTGATTTGACCTTGACAGCAGAAAGAAAAGCAGAGTGGGCTGGTGGGAAGAGCGGTGGATTGAGGGATGGATGGGGTGTAAGAAATGAAGTGATGGTCCGGGCCAGATGCCTGTTGCAGATACTTGAGAGAAATTACATGACCTTGAATAGGATGGAGATAAATCATGGAAACAAGAGAGCCATGTGGGATGGAGACATCTGTACACATAAAACTGGGTGACAGGCATGCATCAAACACCAGAGGTAATCCCACCTACGTGGGCATGTGGTATAATGTCTTAGGTAATAAAAGTACGGATCACTGAATAAATCTTCAGCTTTACTGAAATGATAGTGAAACACTGCTTTATTATTTATGACAGAAAAATAAACAGGAGACAACTTTGTTTGCTGTAAACCTAACACAGTAAGGTGTGACAATGGGCTGTGCTGCCTCATTGCCTTTAGGTACTTAACTGCTAAAACTATTTAGCAGTTTTGGCTGTTAAGTAAATGAAAATGGTGGCCAGATGAGGACCAATGATAACCATTGGGTAGCACAGCAAAACAAAAACTACTAGGAGGTAATTTCTATTTGCTCGATATTACAATAATAAAAATTTATTTTTAGATTTTTTTTTCCACTTTCTTTAAAGTCACAAGTTTACATACACAAAGATAACTGATTCTTTGAACAGTTTTGGGAAAGTCCACATCGCTCTGTCAAGATAGTACTGTATGTTTTTGCTTTGAAGATGAAAATTACAAGTAAATTTATGGATTGAATATTGGACATCAATTGACCAAAAATCAAACTCACAGAGTTATAAATATACAGCACTAATAGAAGACAAAAACAATACCAGCCATCTTGCACCTGTCTTAAAAACAGATGGATTTTTTTTTTTTTTTTTTGCACATTTGCTAAAACTGTCATCATGTTATGGCAGTATTACATGAGACATACGATCTGTGAAAAAAAGAAAAAAAAAAGAAAATCAAGCTCCTCTGTAGTCCTACTGCCATCTGCAGAAATGAACAGCTCCCAGTCTCAACCAACCAATCAGAGCCAAGAGAAAGGCCTTACCTCTGGCAATAAAACGTGTGTACGCGCTGCTCAATGTGTTAATGGCAGAGAAACAATGTACTGTTACAGGAAAACCATTTATCCACCATCATCGGTTGCCACAATTGCTAGCCTGCTCATTAACAGCAGGCCCCAATGTGGCGACGGAGCTTTAGCATAGCAGAAAGCAAGTGGGAGGGTGTGAGCAGTGCATACACAAGCTTCATTAACAGTGCTAAGACCTTTCTCCTGACCCTGATTGGTGGTTTCTGACTGAGTGGTGTATTTGTAGGACCACAGGTAGAAGGCAGAGGAGCTTGATCTTTTCAGACTGTCTCATGTCATACTGTCAGGACATAATTACAGTGTAACAAATCAAAACACGTTTTTTAGAAAAACTTACCGACTGTAGCTTTAAACCTGAACTAAACAATAATGAGCAATTTTCACATTTATTTTGAAGAACAAACTATTTTCCACGACGTGTTCATTATCTCGACTGTCTTTTACATGAAGGGGAAATCTAGTGGCAGCCGTTACTGCTGCCGGGAAGCTGTCTATATATTTACTCTTCCAGTTTAGTAGAGAAAAAGGCACGCCTGTCATTAGAGACGTTGTTTATGACAACCAAATCCCTGATGTGCATTAAGAAATTATTCCCAGCTTCTGTTTGTTTGTCTGGATCGCATCCTTAAAAACATCAGTCATCTTGCAAATGTGAACACAGACAGCCTGGGATCATCGGATGAGTGGAAGATGCTGACGCTATTCAAAATATGAAATGCAAATGTGATTGCCAAAATCCTGTGAGTAATTTTTCAGATTAATTCAACTGTTTAGAGCCAAAAAAAAAGAGGCAAAAGTATGTCGAGGTGGTTCAACCAAACATTTCAGAGCCATATCAGTATAATTCAAAATCTTGCTTTGTCAGTTTACCTAATACGGTAATTATATACGCATTATTTCCACCAATCAAAGCATTATTTGTGCATTAGACTCTACGTGTCTTTGTCAGTGTTATAAACTGACATTATTCACAATTTGTGGCAGTGAGACATGGGATGTAGGGAGCTAAAGAATAGTCAAAATCTCTACCAACATGAAACAGTTTCAAATGAAGCTATCAAACATCCATTACTTGTTTTAAACCTGCCTTTTTCTGTGAATGCCTTGCAAAAGTTAAATTCAATATTTGGATTTTGTCATGATAAGCACTCATTTGTAGTGTGTGCGCCAACACAAATGGATGTATTATTGTGAAGTGGAATGAAAATGATACATATTCAGATTCTTACTTTGACTGAGCCATTTTAACTCAATAAAACACACTTTCATCCAGGAATATATGAGTATATACATACACCTACTTGACTCTGAACATATAATAAATGTAATGTGTGAAAATGTGAAATAATAATATTACCAACACTTGAAAATGTTCAAAATAAATCAGAATTAAATGGGGATGATATGTTCATGTTGATGTACAGAGTTAGTTTACCGCTACACATAAGGTTTTGCATGTCCATCACTTGTAGAGAACAAATGATGGACATACTAGGCACAATGTGTAGTGCAAGGCTTGTGGAAAACTGGAAAATGGGTTTCTGATTACTTTAGTTCAATTTTTCCAGATTTGTGAGGCAGATAAAAAAAAAAAAATGTTGTCTTGTTAACAGATTCTATCACCTGAGCTGTGGACCTCTGCAGCTCCCAGAAAGCCACTTGGTTGCATCCCTGATTAGCCATGTTTTGTTGTGGCCAACTCTTTCCAGTTCCAGAGGAGGGATTAAACAGTACTCTGTGAGAAGTTCAAAGTTGGAATTTGTTTTATAACCAAACCCTGCTTAGAAATTCTCCACAAGTTTATCCCTGATCTCTCCGCTTGTTACTTGGGCTTCATGATGCTGCTTGCTATCAAATGTTCTCTATCAAACCTTTGAGGCTTTCATAGAACAGCAGATGAAATTGCATACAGGTTAACTCTCCTTATAACAAGATTACATCTAAAGTTTACTGATTGGAATTTTTATAATCAAGTGTGCGTTTGTAAACTAAAAAGTTTACAGGTTATAGATTTTTTTTTTTTGCAATGCTCTTGTTTTAGTCCTTGAAAATGTCATATTCTTTGAAGCTTCTTGCTTTCATTGTGGCTATAAAATCTCCAGTCTTTAATGTTTGTGCTCCTTTCTCAAACAAAACTGTAATGTGCTGAATGGATCACAGTTCAACAATCATTCCTTTTACCTGCTCTTCCCACATCGAGTCCACTCAATAGCGTGATCTCTCTATTTTCACGGCATCCGACTCCCACACCGACTTTCTCCTTTTCCACTCCCCATCTCTCTTGCCCACTGACACATGCACGTTTGCTAAATATTGCTGCGAAACTGCCAACTCCTCACGTTTACTATCGTGCAAGAGAAAAACAGATGAATAGCGGCAAACAAAGGGAACGGCGGGTGATATGATGCAGGAGTAATCGATCAAGCCTTCGCAATCCATTTTCTGCTTCTTGGTGGTGGGATAGTCAGAGTGTGTCAGTGTGTGCTTTTGTGAAATGTATTCATCAAGATAGCCCATGCAAGTGCAAGTAGGAGAACTGGAATAAATCTGAAAGAACCAAGAAAGAAGTGAGCCCGTTTTTCCTGCATTCTAGGTAACTCGAGCAGTATATAAGATTCAATCATTTCTGCCAAAATGCCATCAATGGGTAGTAGATGGAAAGGGTGTGGGGTGCTGTGGAGAAAGAGAAATCAAGAGGAGGTGTTGGGAAAAAAAAAAAAAAAAAAGCACCGAAGGGGAAGTGAGGGCCCCCTGCCCTGAACTTGAACTTCCAGCTGGTGGGAGGTGGGGCGGGTTGGAGGTGGGAGGACAGGGTCAAGAACCCAGAAAGGAAGAAGAGAAAAGATCCAACTGAATGACACTGGTGTCCTCTGGTTACAAGACAGATGGAGGACGGGGGAAGGCATTGTTTTGTTTCATAAACACGTCCAGCAGTTAGTCTGACACCTTCCAAATTGTTTCCTCACAAGACCTAAAGTGCAGAATTTCAGATCTTTCCCTTTCTTTCAGGATGTGTTCTTCAAACAGCTTTATTTAGTCCATTTTGGGGCAAATGTCTACAACCTCTTGGGGAACTTGAAAAATAACTAAAAACTTTGTTTTATGTGGATTTATTTCCGATTGAGCTTAAGCTTTACATAGTTACAAGTAAAACTGAAAAAAAAAAAGATAAAAAGCAAGTATCAGTAATTGTGATGTGGGTTTAAGCCATTTACAGGATAGAAAGATAAATTTTGCGCAGTCGAGTATTAAAATAGGTCAACTTGGCTGGGTTCTCCTACCTTCGTCTGGAGATAGTGGGGGTAGTAGTAGGTGTAGTGGGGGTACATTGGCTGCTGCTCCAAACGTTTTCCCATGTAGCTAGAATCCAACCGAAGGTCCTGGAGGCTGGAGATAGAAGCTCACAGGTTGGGGTACAATCACTTCCAACCACTGGCCTGGATCCTTCAGGAGGGCTGTTTCCAAGAGTGGATGCAAGGAGAGAGCGCTCTTCTCTTGCTAGTAAGGTGTTAGATGCACGGCAAACAAGGTGGGCAGGAGAACGCACTGTGCATGGGATCTCAGCCTGATTGGAGCTTGCAAGGAGCTGTCGTTTTGAGGGTTTGGAAAGCGTGGAGCCAGGGTAGCAGAAGAGAGAGGTTGAGGAGACAGATGTGTGGGGTAAGGAGAGCAAAAATTCAGAAAGACAGTAGCAAAAGAGGGAACAATAAAGAAAAACTGAAGCGCAGGACTAAAAGGGAGTAAGAGGAGAGGGAAGAGAAGGATGTGGAATGAATGGTTGCGTTCTGCGTCCCGGTTCTTGACACTATGTGGACTAGAAATTAGACTCACTCCTCTTCTCTGGTGCCCTGAACATGCCCCTCAATTTGTCTTCCAATGTCTCTCTCTCTCTCTTTTTTGTCTCTTTTATCCGTTTTTATCCAGTCTCCCCTGTTTCTTTCCCCCTCTTAAATCTGATGAAGAGCCTGATCCCAAGGGGAGCCCAGCTGTATCCTGAAGAACACACGGCGTCCTTCTTGCTCTATCCTCAAAAGACACTGGAATCAGCGATGAACTCACACATGGATGTGGAACCGGAGAGAGAACAGAAGGAGGAGGAAGAGGAGTAGAGGTGGAGAGAGGGTGGTCTGGAGCTGAAGCTGTGACTGTTTTTTTTCCCCCCTCACTCCCTCCCTCTTTTGTTAAGCTCCAGGGATAGATAGGTAGATATCGCTGGAGTCTTGCACGGAGGATGAGCAAAGAGGAAAAAGCCTCGGTAAAAGGCAGATAGCCTTATCCAGACGTACTCTCTCACAAAAAAAGAAAAAAACGGAAAATCCCTCCTCATCCACAAGGTGCCCCTTCAACTCTTTTCTCTCTTCTTCTCTTCCCCTCGGCGATCCCTCTCTTTCTTCTCAGGCTCTTTCCCTGACGGTTTGCTTCCCACTGAGCCTGGCAGCCGTCACTGTGTCTGTGACTGTGTGTGTGTGAGTAGTGGTGGTGGTGGAAGCAGCGGCGGCGGCGGTGTGGTATGTGTGTGACTGTGCATGTAACTGAGAGGGGAACGTGTTTGTGTGGCTGCTGGCGTCTGCTCCGCTCTGCGTGCGGAGGCATAGAGGGGCTAGGCTTCGGCGCAGCTACGCTCCTCCCTCTATCCCTCTCTTCCTCTCCCCGTTGTGTCTTTCTCTCTCTCCCTCTGTGTTCATCACGGAACTATAGGAGGGTGGGAGTGGTCGGTCCTGCCCTCCTTCAAGTTTGTGTGAGTGCGTTTGCTCTCAAAGGAGGCTGAGAAAGACATGCACTGACTGTCCGGCTGGGGAAGCAGATGTGGAGGAAAGAATGAAGAGTCTGAGATTGGCCCAGTGAGAAGGCAACACACAACTTGGAAACAGAGAGAGACCCCCACTACTGGCACGTTGTAGGTCCAGCAAAGCTTGAATCAAATTTCCGAGGATGTTTTAATACCTAAAACATTTCACTCATGCAAGAAAACTCTGACATGTATGACCAGGCAAAAAGCCCACAACAACGCTCCATTCACATGCCCAGCAAAAGGCCACAACTTGGAGAGGGTGCAGAGTCAAGTGGCTGTGTGGCACAGTGACCCACTGACACAGTGCTGCCTGTTACATCATGTAACCAGGTTTAAGTAGCGCTCTTACATAAGCACAGTGAGCCATGCATGAAAAGGTTCTTCTGCCCTCTGACTACAGCAGTATGCGTGTATATGTGTGTGTCTATGTGTGTGTGAGTGAAAGTGTGAGAAGGGTTGCCAAACAATGCAAGCACACTGCAGAGGAAAAAGGGCACAGGAACAGAATGCAAAAATGCACCCTTCTCCAAGATACGACCTTCTTTTCTTATGGTCAGTTGCTCTCCAACAAGCCTGAGATCACCCTCTTTCCAACGTCAAGTTCTTGTGTGGGACCTTTTATGATGTTTAGGTTTATGTTGATATCTTATAGGAATTCCATCCGTCTATAGCTGCTTGTCCGTGCAGAGTTATAAGGAGGCTATATAGGAATTCCTTCGACCTTGTTGTATATCATTATTGGCTGGGTGGCTTTTATTGGCTATTATTACCTAATGAGAGTGCACAGAGTCTTCGTGTCCTTGATTAATCTTTTGAACTTCCGTTCTTGGTTGGTATTAAGTTTCTTTAAAACAGACATAGAGCAAGTAAAAGTAGCTGATTATTACGCAACTTGATGTCTTGTGAAATCAGTTTTTGCAATGTCTCCAGATATTTGAACGGCCTGTCGTCAAGTATTAACTCCATCTCTCTTCCTATCAAGTCTAACTGGCTTCCTGGTGAATATTGAAGAAAAGCATCCCCACAGCATGATGCTCTCACCACCATGTTTCACATAGAATGGTGTGTTTAGGGTGATGTCCATTTTCAGTTTTGGTCCACACATGCACTTTTTCATATACTCCACAGGTTTGCAGTTGTGCCATACTCTTGTAATCTGTGAGAAGCTTAGTGATGTTTTGTAACCTATCCCTACTTTTACACTTCACTACACTCAATCTCTGACCTGTCACTTGTGTTCACTGGTCTTCTTTTGCTTCCTGCTGCTAGTTCACTAACCTTCTCTGACAACAATGAGATTTTCACAGACTGTTTGCTTGCATTGAGATTCAGTTACACACATTCATGTTGATTTCTAATTAGATGGCTTCTGACGGCAATTTCTGCCACTGGAGTTGATTTATTGTGGCGGTATCAGAGTAAATGGCACTGAATGCAAATACAAGGTATTTTTTCAGGTTCTTAATTATAAATAGATACGTATTATTATTTTCCCTTCACTTTCGAGTTATAGATTATATTATATTCGTCTATCACACAAAATCAAAATAAAATGCATTAAAGTTGCTATTATATGACAGCATGTGAAAGTTAACGGGGTAGTAATAATTACAGGTCACACACTGTCGTCACATTGCACCATCCACTACTGTTTCCAACGTGCCACTTTCAATTTTGCCCTGACAATAAAAAAAAAGAGTTGTGATGTTGCAAGCACCAATATCTGAGTGAGCCAATTAATTGAGCTGCACTACCTGCCTGCACACATAGCAGCTCTGCATATGACTCAGGAAAAGTGGTGGTGACAGCTTAAAATTGAACATTATGCCAGGATTGTTTGCCCAGTTACAGGCAACACGGTTAGGGTTGAATAAATACATGACATTCATGAATATTTCAACCATTGTTACTGATAATTAAGCCTTCTAAGATACTGAAGTTTAATCGGTAAAACATGGGAATGAGGAGGACAATGAGCAAAAGTATAGGCAGGTAGGACAAACCAAGCAAGACCGTAAAAATGTCCCAATGCGTTTTGTTCATTTCACCAGAAATATGACAACTACTGGATTTGGCAGTTCAGTGGGTGGATTTTGGCTAAGTAGATGAATGACATGTTTAATTCAGGATCCGCCCAAACCCTAGATGTTATTATGGTGAAAAGAAAAAATGAGACAAAAAAAAACAAAAACTAATGGAATAGATATCAGTAGAGGTGGGGGAGGACAATGAATCAATGTGTTGACCTTCTGTTGTCATAGCAAATTTAGTCAGGGAGGAACTGTACATATCTATTTCAGGAACTTTTTTGTAAGACAATAGAGTAGTTCAGGTAAGTATAATTTGATCCACATTTTAGCTGATTTGGATTTCTCTGTAAAAAGTAAAAGACCTCAATATTATATATATATATATATAATATATATATAATATATATATAATATATATATATATATATATATATATATATATATATATATATATATATATATATATATTAGTCATCCTGATGTAAAGATGTAAAGAGGCATACATAATTATGTACTGGCTTTAAAAACAGCATTTTACTATTTCTCATTTAAACTGACTTTTGTGTTCTATATTAGTGAAACCTTAGACTTACCTAAGACCAGAAATTTGAAAAAACATCCCAACATTTCCAAATCCAGCATCTTCAATGACAGACAGATGCTAAACGCTGAAAAGCATTAAACAAAGAGGTGCATTATTGCACTATGTACAGTCTTCCCATCTCATTTCTCACAATAGGACACTAAAACACCCTTAATGTTTACATGAAAACATTGAGATGCCTTCAGTGTTTATATGTAATGCCTTTGATAAGCAGTGGCACAGTTAGAAAACTAACTGAGATGAATGTCACCATGTTTGATGCAGATAAATATAGCAAATAAACCTTCAAAATGAAATTTATGGTACAGCACACCATGTGGCAAATACATAACTGGGTGATGAAATTATAATAAATGCTACTCTAAATCTGACTGGCGAGTAAACACAATGATCACACTCTTCACAACTGTGTGTTTTGTCCTAATTGAGATTTCAGGAGACCGACAGGATTCTCCCCATCTGCACCCCTGCCCCCTTGTCTTCTCTATGCACTGATGTGTGACGTGAAGGCAGCTCTGAGTCTGTGTTGTAACACAACGTCAGCATCATGCCCGCAGGCAAGCCTGGACAAAGCACTATAATTTGCTTATATATTATTTGCCATTATCTACGTTGCCTTGTTAATCGTTTCAAGAATTGGACCATCTTATTTTTCCTCGTGACACAAGAGTGTCTCAAGCACTGCATAAATAACATGCTGTAATTTCTGCAGCATATCTTTGAGCCATTTCCAAGTCTTGAACATTTCTAATGTGTTCTGTTGTTCTGAAAATGTTGAAACGGAATGTTTGGAGGCGACTGATCCTGATGCAAATATCTATAAATAATATCAAAAGCTCTCTAGAGGAAGGAAGTTACTCATCAGGAAGAGGGCTACTCAGTTTAAACTTGGTATCCAAATAGGAGTCAGTGGGTGACTAATTCACAACTGAGAGCAGCTGCAGTGGTCAGGCTGAAGCCATCACCTGACAAGTAGTTGAGATAAGCGTAAATACACAATATCAAGCGTGGTCTAAAGTGACGCAGGTTGCTGCGTTGTCAGGCACACTCATCAAGCAAAAATGCAGCTTTGATCGGGGAGCAGCTGCGCTACAGAAAGAAGAGAAGAAATTGCCAACCGTAGGTAGAAGTGAGAGAACAGAGCAATGATTCGGTGTTAAATGGAGTGCAGCTTTGAGCTAAAATATCAGTACGTCTGCCAGAACACGAGCTGTCAGCTCACAGATATAATTATCACTGTGTTAACCATCCTAATTTTTTCCATGTGGGAATTTGTGGTCAACTTTAACATGCATATAAGTAGTCATAAAGGTATTTAGTTGTCAGTGAAACCAAAATTTTAATCAAATGACGGTGATGGTTGCTTACTTCACAGAAAGTCAGATGGGCTTAATGAGCTGTATCCCAGTTTACTATCCATGTGGGTTCGTTTTTGAATGTTTTTCCAAAAAACTAAACACCATAATTTATGTGAGAGCAACTGGAAACTCATTGCTGAAGGAATGTTTGTGAAAACAGCGCTGTCTGTACTTTAGAATAAATCATTTTAACCTAGAGAAAATATTTAGAGCATATGGAGAATAAAGCTGTGCTTTTCATGAAAATCTCACCGGAACAGTTAAAGGTTAGAGTAAAACTTTCAAACACGCTGTAAAAATGTAAATCAAACAGCATGTGGATTATCTGCCAGACAGAAACTAAAGTAAAATTAACTCCAATTATGTTAGACTGCTGCCTGAAACAGAGTTAACATTAGCTTTCTAGAAGTGAAGCGTCACAATTGTTTGTGTTTTTTTTTTTCAGTGTGGAAATGCTTCCCTGAAGTGGAATTTTATTTTCCAAAAACTGAAGGCATGAAAAAAAATTCTGATGAGTTGGGATGAGGATAGTGAGTATTTTAAAATGTATTTTCATCTCATTGTGAGCAGCCATTGGTTGGGCTCTCAAAAGCACTCACCCAGACTTTATGGAAAGTGACACAATCTCAGGGACCCATTAAGCGTGACTGCCAGATTATTTTCAGAAATGTATAGTTTTTCTTAACTTTTTCTACTAAGACTGTTAAGAAACCGCACAAAATGAATGGTAGCTATCGGCGCCACTAGTCCATCCAGCTGTATTGCAGAATCAAAGAGGTTGCTATGGATAAAGTCAAAGACAAAATCACAGCCTTGTTTCACATGCAGCAGTATGAAAATAGGCAGCGCTTTGTGAGAGCAAGCGTTCAGGCACCCCCGAATGGTTGCAATGGGAAATTCAAGGATTTCTCAAACGTGCATGAAAGAATCAAATCAACACTGCAGGTATATATTTGTTGAGGGAATAACATCATAACATAATATAAAGCTTTAAAAAGTAGATTTTACATAATACCCTTCCTTGAAGCAAAACTACTGTGTGGAGGAGATCAGGGGGAAAATATCCAAACCAAGAATCATTCTCTACAGCTTTGCACTAAGAGGAGGTACAAACACTGACCAAAGCAGTTTGACAGCCATTCACCAACTCCATGCACAGAATACCAACCAACCAGGGAGTTCAGGAATGTGTGTGTGCGCTATAAATGAGTAGCAGAAGAGGCAAAGTTTTCCTAGGGATCTTAAGATTCAGCTGACAGTGCAGTCTGGAAACACAAAGAGAGAAAATTGACTCCTTTAACTGCATAACACGGTTCTATTGTAAGAGGAGCCATCGCTACATCTGCTACCAAAGTAAAGCTTCCTAATTACCATGTCTACTGACGGGGCAGCCACAGCGATGGTGGTAAATACACAGCGAATAATTGCTTTAATTTTAATATCAAATGATGTCTTCAGTACAACCATTAAGCAGAAGGTAATTGTCTGTTACAAGTTCTTAAGGAGAGTATATGTAGCCTTTTCTAAAGAGAGATAGATTTTTCTAGTCCGCTCTTTGACAGATTCGAGACAAAGCCCGACAGCTGGAGCCAAATATCAAAGGGTCTGCATTGAC